CACAGTGGCACCCCGCCCACCTCTTTACATTTTTGGAAATGCTCCCTTATATACACTTACTTCTATATATGACATATATATGGCTTTCTCAGCCATTTCAATGGACTTGGCGCCATTTCTTTCTTTTGAACCACTATTTCAATGAGGTAGGATGTGTCTGCTCAATATTTCATATTTTTTACTCTAAAATACATCTTAGTTACTAAACTTTATAAATTATAGTGGAATTATATGGTATTAATAAAACTTTGATATTACTGTCATCCCCTATACAACTAAAACTGTATAGCTACACTGCAATATATACTGCACAAGTATTAACACAAAATACAAAACATACTGTAGCAACAACAACTTGAGGGAAGTTCAGAATTTTGCTATTTTTTTTACTGTTCCAGTGTGTTCTATTTGCTGGTCAGATTTATGCGTGAAAGTGTGTGTGTGATAAATGGGTGGAGGCACATGTTAGAGTGGATACATCATCTATGTTTCTGTGGATGTTTGGATGTGACAGGTTGCAGAGTGTGTTCTGTTGTAGTTGATAAAAAGAAGAATTAAATGGTAATTCTTTACTTGGTTAATTACACTATAAAATAATGCAGTTAATATCAACACTTCACGACATCAGTTTTTGAAGTAAAGGCTCTATCTAAATTGTTTGACTAGTAAAAATAAATTATACATATTGGCTATACAGTACATAAATAGGCAAATAATATATTGATAGTGTGATGTCTACATATATTCCAGTACATCAAATTATATAAATTCCATAAGCAAAATGAGGAGAAGAACAGGAAAACTGTCTATGGGAAGTCAACCTGGAATATACTATCAAACTCTGTAGGAAATTTAAAATTCATCAAATTCATAAATGACTAAAATAACCACTTTGACACCCAATTTATATACAACTACACTAAAGAAACCAACATTTACATATACAGAAAAGTACAATGACTTTCATCCAAGTTGCAATGCACAGACATTGAATTTTTTGTCCCTAAATGAATTGCACTTAAAAAGAATGCTTACTCATACTTCCCTTCTCAGAAAACTGTTTAAAAGTCATTCAAAGTTTCTTTCACCACAGTGTTAACTGTTTTAAACCAATCAGGACACATAAATTTCATACTCTAACATAAACTAGGAAACAGTATAGAAGAGGATCCTGAAACATTAAAGCTTAACCTTAAGTGGGAAGGATAAATAATGTCCAAGTTTTTTTAAAAAAAACTTTGGGTTTAGCAAAAAAAGTGAAGATAAAAGAGCAAAAAATATCTCTGCAAACTAACTACCAATGATGATGCTGTAACTGTCTGTAGCAGCAGTCAGCTCTCTCAGCAATATCTTGAGGCTGGTGGTGATGTTTACATTCAGTGTCAACAACAGAGGCAGAATATGTGTTTTCATCCATGAATGTCACTAAGATCCCTTTATGAATCTGGCTTAATAAGGACATCTTGCAAAATTTGATGTTTCTTAAGATTGAGGATGCCCGAGTTCGAGAAGTACAACCTAAGCAGAGCTATTGAATACTGATTTACTTCTGGTGGCAACCGAGCATGTTAAGGGATATAAGTTCCACCA